ACAGAGTGGGACAGAGAGGGGACAGAGTGGGACAGAGAGGGGACAGAGAGGGGACAGAGTGGGACAGAGAGGGGACAGAGAGGGGACAGAGAGGGACCGAGCGGGACTCACCTAGGCTGTGGCCGTTCTTTGTGTAGAAGCAGGTGTTGTTGATGAGGTTAACGCAGCAGCCAATCACGTCGCCCGTTGTAAACGTGGGGCCGTAGGGTTGCCCGGTGCCGGATGAGCAGAAGGAGTGGCCGTCGTCGCCGTGGTAACCATAAGAGTGCTTGTCCCAACCTGAAGGAAGAAGGCAAAACAAAGGTGAGCGGTGGGAAGGCGAGACGCAGAGATGATGCAGTCAGACAACAGACTTCATCAACGGGTGAAAATCGAAAAGTAATAAACACTGGAAGTATTTTTTTTAAATATATAAAAATCTTGATGGCATCAAAATGAGGATCAAAGAATATGTCTAAAAGAAAACTGCTGAGGTTGCACCTGAATCAATCTGCATAATTATCAATGAACAGCAGCCAGAAACTCTGCAGGGAGACAGAGAGGCTCTAGCCAAGGAGTCCAAATATGTTGACTAGGCAAGAAAGACGCCACAATTCATGCTTCAGCACGCTCCGCTGTCTTTAGTTATTAGAGGCTGTAGTTGGTAACGGGACAAAAGGACAGCATCAGAAACGTGGAGGGATTTAAAGGCTTTAAACATTTGTTACATTTTCAGCTGCTGCGGTTCTCTTTCTCAATGCACTGAGTCAAACCCACCGAAAAACCTGTTCCCCTCCTCGCCTGTGGGGGCGCTGCACCAAGAATCACTAAAGGAAACGACAAAAACCTCTGAAGACGACACTGAGTGCAACTTCCTTCTTCATTACATGTAAGCAAACATGAAGTGACGTCAGATTTTAGGTTTTGTTTTAGTTGTATTTACCCATAATGCCCTGCGATGCAGTCTGTTTCCAGCTCTTAGAGCAGTCTCCAGTTTGCTCGGCGTTCACATACCCATTCAAACCACACCGGAGTTTACTTAAACCGAACACAGACCGAGGTTTGCAGGCAGACAAGAATTTGATTAGCATTCACACCTCAACAGAGGAACCGGACTTTCTAGGCAAACGGACTGGAGTCGCATTAAAGTGAACTCAACTGGGTTGGTGGGAATGAAGAACCCTAAATCTTGCTTAAGGACTCTTCTGGGTGATTCAACTAAGAAAAAAAAGAAAATAAATAAACCTTTGCTATTTTTACCTGGTATGTTTTAATCATAAAACATACCATCCTATTCACATTCAGGTTTTCCTATGAAAACGAAGGTTTTCTAAACAATCCAACCTTATTTTACCCAGCAGCCAGTGTGTTTGTCTTAGTTGCATTTACCCAGAATGTAACTGGCTTTAGTTGACCTAAAGCCCGAGTAGCTGACCTCATATGGTCGTTATTTGTGCTGTTCCTTTAGCAGGTGTGTTTCCTGTTGGTTTTTAATGAGTGACGAACATGTCCCAGTTTCCCTGAACTGGAGCTAAACTTGAACCGAGCCCATTGTCCTCTGAAGAGGACGCCACTTTCAGCCCCGCTGGCCTCGGGCCGTTTAGGCTGGACGTTCCAGCTCCGCTGCAGAATGTAACCCAGCCCGGCCTGCATGCGGCTCCGCTGCAGCCGTTCTTCAGTTACCACTCCTTCATTAGCCTCCATCCATCTCTGGCCCCCTGTTATCTCTGGGTGGGTCCAGTTTTAAACTAATGAAAGGCTGTCTGGGCTCCTGCTCGCTCTGATAACCTCGCTGGATGACGTTGATGAAGTGGTGCCGTGTCTTATGGATCCGCTCACCGGAGGAGAACTCTCTTACAGAAACAAGAAGTGGGTGTCTGTCTTAGAATTGGATCAGAACCCAGAAATGATACCCAGGATGAATTTAGGATCTATTTTGTTCATTTAAATCTGTAAAATTAGCTCCCTGAAAACAAATACTGCTCTTAAAAAAACATTCACATGTGAGATAATCCAGTTTCATAACGAAGTGTGATTCTTACCACTAAACTTCATAGTAGCTGCATTTAATCATATGAATGGTGAGTTCATGGGACAAACGGTGGAGAAAATTAGATTAGATTAGATTCCCTTTATCTTTACAAATCAGAGAACGGCCGATACTTGGATGTGAAGCCGGCAAATATCTAAAAATCACCCACTGTCCTTTTTTGAGAGGTTTGAAGGAACGGCCCACCAGGTCATGCCTGCATGTCAACAATAGTCACTCCACTTTTACCAACTCTGCACCTTTCTGGCTATATTCAGCAACATTTCAAAAGAGAAAAAAAAAATCAGCATTGAAAGTTCAGGCCTTTAAAATAAATCAGCAATCAGCTCGAAAACTGGAGCTGGAGCTCCACTAGAGAAAATAATTATTCCAGACAATACAATCAGTTTTTACAATTTTAAACACCAATAACGAAAATTTATATTTAAAAAACTCATCTGAGCTGCACATATTAGAAAATACTGCAATGATATATCAGGTGATAGCTTTCCTCTCTAATCTTTGCTTCCTCCTCCATGTGACCTTTAGCATTTGAGTCCAGTGTGAGCTTTTGCAGCCATGACACTCTGTCCTACTAGCGAAATGTTGCATTAGCATAAATTATACAATTTCAGAATTTGCAAACTGCATAAGCCAACAATTACTGCTCTCCAAACTGTCCTTTGCGATATAAATATTGTGATGACGATATATTGATGATTTATTGTGCAGCAGCCATGCAATAAAGCTCAGATTCAAAAGCTGACGTCTAATCCGCAGCTTTAGTGTGTTTGTTTATTTTCTGGGTAGTTTGAGTGAGAACACAGTCGACTGAACGACTTTCCCTCGTTCGTCTTCCTGCTGTCTGCAGCAGCTCCTATAAACACTGTGCTCCAGTCGTGCCAACAGAGAACATGCAGATGTAATCAGATAATTGAAGTTTCCTCTCAAAGAGACGTTTCTCCTGCTCAGCAGAATCCTCACAAGCAGAATAAAACCAACAATTACACACACAGTGAACTTACCAGGGAGTCTGTTCATATTTACACCCTGAGCTGAGAGGCCGATCCCCATGTAGCTGGAAGAAGAAACACAAATAACTCAGTCCTGACATGTAAGACATGATGTTTATAGAGGACACAGAAGAATAAAAACGCTCCTACAGCTGCAGCTGCTTTGATTACTGCTGCACTGACTTCAAATCATCCTCCGTTTACCTGAAGCTCCCAGCGGTGAACCGTTATCACGAGCAAACATTCTGGTTCAAGACGGAGGACAAAACGGTTTAAAAAGACACAAAGAGGGAAGATGAAACTCAAGCCAGTTTATTTCAAAGAGCTGACTTCATCAACACAACGGTTAAATTAACTTCACTTAAGAAAAAAAAAAGTAAAAAACAAACAGAGGAATGCTTTAAGTTTTTTTTAAATGTAATTTTTTCAGTTGGTCTCAGGTTGTTTTTTTTTGTTCTTTTTTTGTTAATCAAATCAATGAGCTAAAAATCTTATTCATTTTTTTAATGCCAGCATGTCTGAACATGGAGACCAGTGGTGTGCAACCTGCGGCTCCGGAGCCACAAGTGGCTCGTTGGACCTTCGACAGAACTCTACATAAAAACATGTAGCACCAACAATTTTTAATATAGATGGAAACAATAAATGCTCCATTTTGCAGCTGAACTGTATTGAATTTCAACAAAATTAACAAAACTATTTTTTCTAGTCATTATGTTGGAAACTAATTGCTTTTCCCTAATTTTGATGTTTTATTTCCCAAAACATCAAAATCCAAGAGTAGAAAATGTATCCATCCTGTTGTTACAAATGTTTTATGATTTTATTCATTTTAAAACCTAAATATAAACTGCTGGTTCTTTAAAAAATTACCATTTGCTGATAGAAATGTAGTCAGTTCTGATTCCTCTCCAAGAACTGTGACATCAGTGGATTTGAGGAAAATGTTTATTTTTCTTCCAAACCTTTTAGTTGGAAGTGATCAATAATTTATTGTATTGGTTGCAGAAATAACGGAAAGTCTATGTAAGAGACATTCTCTGTGAAAATGTTTTATTATTATTAAGAAAAACAACCAAAAGTAACATAATTACTGAGGGAAAATTATAAAAATTGTCTTAAGTATATTATCTTTCAGCTTCTAAAATCTCCTGATTTCACTTTAAAATGCCCTCATGACACAAAAATCACCCGGTTCTGTCTTCACTCATCATTATCTATCAAGTTTGGTGCAGTCAAGTATTTTTAAAAAAGTTGGATATTTTAGTTTCAGACAGACTGATCAGAGATCAGTGCTTGTTAAGTCCAACATCAGCAGATCAGTTTTCAGTTAGCATCACTAAAATGTAGTTTTTTCATGCATACATGAATAATAAACTCATTTTGACTAAACGGTTTGGGTTTAACCGCTATGGATTAAATTTATTATTTGATATTCAGTAATACTGGAACAACATTCATAAGTTAGAAGTTGTGCAAATTAATTTTTCTAAGCCTTAATGGTAAAAATCTGAACATACTTCACTCAAATTCTTTTTATATAGTTTTTTTTTCTAGTAAATTCTAAATTGTAATTAAAAATATTTTTCTTTTTACTTTAATAATGGAAATAAACCAGCATTTCTAACAGACTGTGCTGTTACAACCAAACTATGACTGAAATGTTGATTTAAAACTTAAAACAAATGTTTGAGATGATTTAATGTAAAAATATTTTCTTCCACACTGAGACGTTGCAAACAAAGCCGACATGTTGGAGCATAAAACTGAACCGTAGCTTCGTTTTTATTTCCTGCGTTGCTCCCGAGAGCTTTGCAGCTTTTCTGCACTTCCTCCACCATGAAGTTCATGTGTGAACTGCAACAACATTCTAATGTTTTCATGACTATTTCTGCCACCAACAAGTAACAACAGTCATGCATCATTTTTCTTAGATCCTAATATTAGGCTCATCTTCAGAAAGTTGTGACACTTCAGAAAAGTTAATGCAAAACAAAGTTAGGGTTATAACCATACTAATGTTTTGTGCCTAATAATAAACATAACTTAGAACCAAACTATAAAGATTCAGAGCTTTGCTGTTAAGTCAGATAAACAGGAGTGGAGTGACAACCAATATATTGCTTTTTGATTTTTCAAAGTGTTGTTTTTAAACTTTTTAACATGATTAAATAATTCCTCACCATTCTTTTTGTTGTTTCTTAAGAGGATTTAAAACTCAATAATTTTGTGATGTTTAGGAACCACAGATTTACAAACTAGTCGTTTAATTTCTGCAAACTCAAAATCTAATCCAGACATTTTGTTGGTTGTTTGCTGAATAATCTGGGAAGAAGTTTGAGATTACTTGCCTGTAATCTAACATAAAATATAATTTGTGTTTTTATCCAAGATGAGAATATTATCAGAGTCTGAAGTTAATCACATGAGAACTCGGCAGGAAGAGCCGTTCCTCTTTTAAACATGCAAATTAAATCATACTATTCTCACTTCAGCTCATCAACAAGATAAAACTCTGAAGGACTAAAATAAACATCCTGATGCTTCATGTGAAACAGATAGGACTTTTTTATATCTAATGAATTTATTTTCACACAACCTGCAGAGTAATGATGACTACATTTCTGTTTTAGATGATCGATGTGACAAACTGCAGTAAAATCATTTGGTAACACTTTATTTGAAGGGAGGTGAATAAGACTGTCATGACACTGTCATAAACATGACATAACACCTGTTGTGAACTTGAATAAGCCTTCATGAATATTTATGACTGTTGTCATAAAGCGTCATTCTGTAAAATATCACATTTTTAATACAAAGTTGACATTATTCAAAATGTCTTTGTTATGACAACTTGACATTAACCAAGAAATCATTACTGATATAAATTTGCTAGAAAAGTATTACTGATTGCACTTTAAAAATTAGGTAACTTTATGTTATTAAAGGTAAAGTTTAAACAGTAATGATTTCTTTGTTAATGTCAAGTTGTCATAAAGACATTTTGAATAATGTCAACTTTGTATTAAAAGTGTCATAATTTACCGAATGACGCTTTATGACAATAGTCATACATATTCATGAAGGCTTATTCATGTTCATGACAAGTGTTATGTCATGCTTATGACAGTGTCATGACAGTCTTATTCACCTCCCTTCAAATAAAGTGTTGCCAATCATTTCTTCCAGCTGGAAGTTGATAGAAAACCTTTATGTTAATTAACTTTACAGGCAGTTTAAACTAGAACAAAGCTACACCTCTGCAATATTTAACTGTCTCTTACCCATCTCGGCCTTTACTGATGATCTTCACCTCAAAGTAGTAGACGCCGCAGGCGGCGGGGATGGGGTGGGTGGCCCGCACAGACGCAGCATCCTTAGGGGTCTTCCCATGACCTTGGAAGGAGTAAACAATGTTTTATTATTACAAATAAATGTCTACAAGGTCAACCTGCTATAAATAAAGATGAAAAGCTTCTCCTGAACTACAGGAAAGCCTGGAAACGGACTGTATGCAGATTTAAATTGATCGCTGAGGTGTTCCAGATCACAGATATCTGATCCAGCTTTAATCCTGTCACTATGGTTTAATAAACCTTTAAATCAGAGCAGGAAGTAATCTAAATGTTTTACACAATAACCAAAAACAAACATGAAGCTGAAATTATTTTTTACTGAAGCTGGTTCCTTTATCTCTAATCATTTTCTCCTGTCTTTGCTAAAAATGTGAGATTTCTATGATAAAACAAGAAGAAAATCAGATTAAATTCTTCATTTTCTGGTTATTTAAAATAATAAACTTTCTCTGTAAGATGTGGCTGAGGTTATGAGGTCATCATGTATGGTCTGAACCTCATGTACTGATTTGTGAACCCGCTCATGCTGGCAGTCTATAAAGCTAACATTAGCTCAAGCAGCTGGATGAGTGCATCATTAGGGGTCAAATATCAGCCATGTTTACACGGCTGAATGTTAGTCAGGAGCAGCTTGAAGCCTTTGCAATATGTGGACAACAAATATTCCCAACATACAGAATACAGAGCCATCGCAATAACAGAAGCAACAAAATATGCTACGGTTACAGTTCAGGTGGTTGTTTGTTTTGCTTTTTTTGCAATTAAATCACCTAAACCCAAATTACATTATGAGAGGATTTAATGTTCATATTTACTGCTTTCTGTGAGCAGTAAATGTCAGCTCTGTTGCAGGTTCAGATTGCAATGAAACACCTAAACCCACATGCAAATTTTTAGATTTGTTCTCCTATCCAAAGCTTCTGAGATGGAGCCACAATAAAGAAGCATTCCAGATGAATAAATAATTAAAGTTTTAATATTCCAGTAAAAATAACGCACGTCTTCCAGGAGTGAGAGCAGGGTTTGTTCTTGTTGTAGTAAAACGGTTTAATTGTATTAAGTTAATAAAATAACTGTTTTTTAATATTTACTCCAATCTCCAATTATTGATTTCACCATGAAAGTATGTGATTTCTATTTACAGTGCATTTATGTAGTAGATTTGATGATTCTACAGTATTATGTTACCAAATACAACACAGAAATGCTGTTATTTTCTCCTTAATTGATTTCCTGTTTAAAAAATATGTTCACACTAGAAAACTTAATGGGGTTTTTTCAGGATTTCCAGCATTTCTAATGATTTTACTGTTAATCGATATTTAACAGTGAAGTCTTAAGATATGATAAAAGGATTAGGAAAGTAATTACAGATTAAATCATCAACAAAAAAGCTTCATAAAGCAGATCCTAATCAAATAGATCTTAATTAGAACTAATGACTTGCAAAATAATTTTATATAAAGTCAGCAGATAATTACAGATTTAAATCTGGAAAAATATGCTTTGCTCCCTGGAGATAAAAAAAAAATACAAGCTTTGTATTATTGTGTGAAAGGATGCTGAACATTTGCAAGCTTGCTATGCAGTACTGAAGTGAATTTGTTGTGGAAAGGAGGAAAATATTCTGGCTGCAACAAGGAAAAGGATGTGTGTGTGCAGAGGCCCGGTCAGACCCAGAATAGCAGAACACACCCAGGAAGCACAGTTGCACCTAGTTTTTTTTTTAAGCACTAGCCTTTTCTTCTAGGCCTACACCCAAAACCTTCACTGTGACAGCTTTGCTAGGCAACTAGTCCAACCACGATGTCAGACAAGACACTTGATATAAAACCCTCAGCAGCAAGGAACTAATCTAACATGTCATCATGGAGGCCTGAACCTAACCTCGACATTTGACACTATTTTCTCACATTTCTAATCAACCTGTAATGCTAAATTAGCTGCTACAGTTGGGCTTTTTCTGACCTGTCTGAAGCAGATATAGTCTGTAATCACCTCTGTCTGTATTCAATCAAAATGTTTATTCTGGTAGGTTATTTATTAAAGAACATGATAGGTCGACGGACTGTCAGTACAGGAAGCTTCATGGAGACAATTAATGGGATTGGCAGGCTGGTTAACTGGTAGCAGCGAAGCTAACGAGCAGGGAGGTGAATTTTGGCAGCGGCTGCACCTCGCCAGCTGGTCGGGTTGCAAGATGTCCTCTCCGCCTTGTTGTTGATCAGGCTACCCAGCCTACTTTGTTTTTAGCCACAAACAGCAGCTGCCTTCGCTAAGCTAGCTGTGAAGTTAGGCTAGCATGTTAGCATAAGCTTAATAAAGTGACAAACTTTGAACGTGTCTTTTTGTCATACCTTTATAGTGAACACGGAGGTTGTTCTGAGACAGTCCGATGTAGCTAAACTTGTCCTTCGGGCTCCAGGAGCGTGGAAGCGGGGTCTCGTTTTCGTTAACGGCCGGATAGAGCCGTCGAAGTCGCTGGTTTAGCTCTTTTTCCTGCTCGTTCAGAGCCGAGTCTCCGTGGACAACGACCGACATCAGAAACCCACAGCCCGTCGACTGTCCAGACATGGCTACCACACGGCTTTTAGTGAAGTGGCTTGTCAGTAACAAGCCAGAACTGCTGGAGTCGGTCAGTGTCGAGTTTAAAGGGGGGTTAGCAAAGCTAGCTAGCTATGAGGCTAAGCTAACTGGCTTCGCTGGTTCGTATTGAGGCAGCCAGAGCTGGTTAGCCTAGAAGCTAACCTGGCTAACGTGTTTAGCCGAACTGATCGCTGAAATGGCTCAGGTTGACATTAGCTGACACAAAGCCACAACATAGACACTACGGGGAACAATATCTGCAGGAGAGGATCTGATGAGAGCGGCTGAGACACAGACGAACAGGTCCGGGTGGATAGCAAAGTAACAAAAGCGTTAGTCCAGGCGGATCGACTAAAGTATAATAAGCTCGGCTAGGCTCGATCTTTTGTTTGTTGTCGGAGCGTATTCTGCGAGTCTGATTGGCTGAGAGCAGCTCCACTCACTTCCTATGGGAATGTGAAGTCAGTAACTGTGAATGTGCAAAAACAGATGAACAGACAAATCTGCACTCAAAAAACCGAGCTGTACTTTTACAGTCAAACGCTGAGTTATTGTTACTTTTTGTTGTCCCACAACTGCTCTTGGTCTATATTATATACCTCAGTTCAGTAAACTATTAACAATCAAAATAACTTTTTATATGACATAAATAAAAAGTTATTTTATTTGATTTATTCAAGTTTTCACCAGTTATCCCTAATCCCCATACATTTTTTTTCTTCCACTCAACTTTCCATTCAGATGCTTAGATGTTTTTTTATATTTAACCAGTATGTAAACTGGTTTAAACTGCATTCCTCATTTGTCTCTTTCCTCATTCTTGTGTTGCATTTATCTGAGATAGTTTAACTCTTGTAAAGACAATTATCAGTCTTATTGTAAACATCAGCTGAGTTTCAGTTATGTCAGACAGTTTAAAAGATGCTTCATTATGGCTTCTCAAAAATAAATATGAACTGATAATGTCTGATTTGGTTCTGGTTTCATTCGTCTGCTTTTCTGACTTTTTCCAGCATCCAAAGAGCTCAAACATTAACAGTACTTTGCTGCCTGAATGGCAGAAAATCCTGAAGAATGTTTATATGCAAGTTCATAACTTTTAGCTTACATGGACTTGGTTATTATGCACAATAGTGACCTGAAGCACACCAGGAGGCCCCATCTGAATGAGTTAAGATCTAAATAAAGGTGTTTTACTGGCATTGTATAATCCTTTTTAGATATTTTAAACAGGCAGTTCACGCTCAGAAACTCTCCATTGTACCCGAGTTAAAACAATTATGCTGTATTTTCCCCAGAGTGACAGCAAAGACAAAAACTAATTGACTTAGGAGACAATTAGTTTTCAGTATAAGGTCAGAATGGTTTGGAAAACATTTTCCTTTAATAAATGAACTCATGATTTAAAAACTGCAATTTGTATTTGTTCAGATTATCTATCTCTAGTTATCAGAAACATTTTAAAGATGTTATTTGGTCTTTAAAGCTCAGCTATGGTTTCCTAAATGTAAACATCTTCAGCATTACCATTATTTTTGCAATGCTTGATGTTAAAAAGTTGCAGAAATCACTTTGAAAGTGAAATCAATTGCTTAAAGACAGTCTAAAGTCAGTATTTATGTGGAAGGGAAAAGTCTGTAATCCATTAGACCAAAACTGCTAGTGAAAGTGATGCAGGTACAACATATACATCTGACGTTTTTAATCAAAGCATTTAAGTAAGAATAACATCCGTTCTGCAGGCCGTCTTGTTGTGCCTGTTTGAGCCAAAACATTCTGGTCTGAGTAATAAAACTAAAGCACAGACAGAACATTTCCTCCCCGTTTGGTTTAGCAGCCTGTGAATGTTCCTCACAACACAGCAGCATGTGGGAAAATTCATTTCATCACTATAAAGGAATGATGAAGTGATGTCTCACTCCCCGTTGGGAAACATTTGCTCGGATTAGATCAGGACCTCTGGAAACAGGAGGCCTGGATTGTTTATAATCTGTGAGATCCATGAGCAAAAAGAGACCAGTTGTTCTGGAAACAGTTCTGGTGTTTGGAGAACGGGTTTGAAGGGGTGAAACTTTACTAAAATGTTCCTGTGAACGAAAAAATAAACTCATTTAAAAAGAAATTACTTCCAAGCCTCCTAACCTGAATATTGGGATTTTTTTCGAGAAAAAACAAACATTTTTTACTAGAAAAAAAATCTGAGAAGCATACTCAAAATATGTGAGTTTTTTGGGGGGGAATTTACTCTTTTTTTCTATCTATACAAAAAATGCGCAGCTAATATAGGGATAAAACATGTTGGACCGACCACAGCGCCCCCTGGTGGTTTAAGCTTATGCTGAACGCCAGCACTGGAGAAAACAAGGTCATATTTTAGATATCTGATCAATTAAAGTGAACAAAACTCAGGACTTTTATAATTATTAAAACAATTTGTGTTTGTTAATAACTAAGAACTCCAAGTTAAACTACAAGCTGGAATGATACTGATAAGATAAATGCTGATGGTTTTCAAAAAGTTTTATTTTTTGCATCTTCTTGGACTCCAATCAGCTAACAGTATTCCAGTACTTAAATAACAGGAAGAGGAAGACAGCCAGGAGCACAGCAGAGAGGATGTGCTTGGATGACTTGAAAATCAAGACGACTCGGTTCAGTGTGCACACAAACACCAAGATGGTCGACATGACAACAAGCAGCCCTTTGATTAGCTTTGCGATGATAATCTGTGCTGTGCTGTCTTCGTGTCTCAGAAGATCCATCTCTTGCTGCTGCTGCAGCTCCATCTTCAGGAGATGGCTCTGACATTTGTCCAGCGCCACCTACAGGTGAGAAAAGATAAGATAAAGTGGAAATAACATAATTGGAATCTGGTGCTGAACACTAAATTGATAATATCGTAATAGACTCACAATCAATATCTCCTATGTCTGATAAAATATTCAATAATTTCACAGATCTAGAACCGTGTGGATCTGGAAAGGCTTTTAGCTCTGCTAGGTGAGTGGAATCAACTAACTCACTCACTCTTTGGTTGCCTAGCGACTCACTCGCTCTTTGGTTGCCTAGCAACAACCTGTTGAGTAACTTGCACAGCAACAGTTTCATGTTGTGCCCCAAAACTGCTTAAACATAAGAAACAATGTTGTGGAACAAAAACTGTGGATAAAACAGAAAAGATCACACCACCAGTTTGGCATATTTCAGATATTAGATATTAGATAATCAGATAATCAATACTATTAAAGTTGACCAACGTATCGTGATGAGTTTTTCAGCCATATTGGGACCCCATGAAAAATTATTGTAGAAAAAGCTTCAAATCATATTCGTCTTTTACTGCAGCATCAAAATCTCAAACTGAACATTTTAGAAATATCAAGAGTTTAATTTGAACGGAAACAAAACTGAAGTTATCTCTGGATCTAAAGAGGAACCATCTAGCGTCACCACACAGCTTCAGTTATTACAGCTGGAAACTAGAGATCAGCCTTCAGTCTGGGTGAAGTGATGTACTCAGACCTGAACCTTCAGAGCAACATAAAGACAGTTACAAAGTCAGACTTCTAATACCTGAAGAACATTTCCAGGATTAAAGGACTAATGTCCCAGCAAGATTTGAGTCTTTGGGCATAAATACTGTGTACAACATACAAGTCTCCTATCAGACATTAAAGGTACATTTTATGAAGAAAAAGTTGGAATTTTCAGAGAACCTGGAGTATTAAGGCAGGAAGTGAAACATGGTTCAGAGTGATGCATGAAAACCTTTACTGGTTGCTTACAGAAAACTCCTCCGCTTTGCAGTTATACTGAAAGTCAATGATATCCTTTATGCTGCTTATCTCCTCTTTCAAGTTCGACGTTTCCCTCTGATGAAGCTCAGTCAGGTAAGCGAGTTCCCGCTCCAAAACGTTCAGTCTGCCAACCCAAAACACCACATCACCAAAAAAGTCAGAACTCTGAATTATGACATAAGAGTCAGAATTAAGAAAACAATAGTCAGTGTTCTGATGTTCAAGACAAAATTCTGGGGAAAAAAAAGTTAGAAATTAGAGAAGAAAACTCTTAATTCTGATATTAAAATCTGAATTAATTCTCAGAAAGGTCAGAACTCTGAGACTAAAGTTATAATCCTGAAGAGAAAAGTCAAAATTAATTCAGACTTTTTTTTCAGAATTTTGACCTTTTCCCTAATTCTAGCATTGATCTTAAAATTTTGACTTTTTTCCAAATTTTGAAAAATTAAAAATTCTTAATTCTGAGATTAAAGTCATAATTCTGAGGGAAAAGTCTGGTTCTTTTCTTTGTCTTTGCAGTGGGCAGAACTGACCTTGACATTTCTTCCTCCATCACATGCAGCATGTGGTTGTGGTCCCGCTGGTACTCAGTTTTCAAGGTTTGCAGGGATTTCTCAAGGTTCTTTTGGGTTTCTCTGATCTGCTGGATGTCACTGAGCGCAGCATCCACAAGTTTGGATTTGTTCTCACTGTGACACTTCCCACCGTCCCTGGAAGAAGACCTGCTTTTGCTGCTGCTTGCAGTAGAAGGTCTTAAGAAGCTTGTGTGCTTGTCTGCAGACAAGCTGCAGCTTGCCAGGAACTTGTCTACAGAGAGGGAGGATTTTGAGTGCCTCCGGCTGGGACTTTCACCTTCGTGGTTTTCGTGCATGTTCTTCACTCTGTCAGACTTACAGTGGATGGAGAAGGAGAATTTCACCAATTTAAATTTGTCTGTTAAAAGTAAAAATTTGTGTGATTTTGAATTGGAGTCAGGCAGCATAAAATCAGTCCACGGGCCATTAATGGCCCCGCGCCACACTTTGGACACTCCTGGTAAGGATTTTAGTAATTGTGTTGCCCCCCTCCTACTCCCAGATTTTCTTAGTGTGTTCCAATAAATAATAAGATGTTTTTATTTAGATAATCCGTTGTTGAAGTCCTTCTTCACATTATTTAAATGAGTTTATATTAATAATATTATTTAATCTACACAATGCAGTGTTTAATTAAAAAAATTCAGCTCTTTTGTTTTTAGCATAAATCCGACATGCTCAGCATCTCCGTTTTGAACCATTTCCATAAACAAACAAAAATGGATCTGGAGATGAAGATGAGAAAAGCTGAACTAAATTATGATTTAACTCACCTGGCTTCAAACCGGATCATCTGAAACGGGTCAGGGTTTGGAAGTGGATCATAGTCTGCGCCACCTGACTGACGCAGCTGAACTGTTAAACGACAGCCACGTTGCTAGGCAACAAATTGTTCGAGTCATAGTTGAAAAAGACGATTTATTGCTATAAATGATCATTTTCAGCAGTAGACCATTGAAGAAGGATTTCTAAAACACCTGTCCGCTTTTCTGAATAAAGAAACGGAAAAATAAAAATAAGTTAGCCTTTGAGGAGCACAGTTATGGAAATGCAGATGTTAAAGTAACGTGTTTCAAGTAAACATAAAAACAAAACAAACAGCTAAATGAAGAAAATTAGAGCAGATTTTAAACCAACTTCAGGACCGTATTTATTTCAAGGATGAAATTTTTTCCTGAAATAATGAGACGAAAAAGACCCACCGTCACTTCCTGTCCCCACATTAAGAAATTCTTTTACAAAAATGTGAATAATTTTTGAAGTATTACTCAATTTATTGAACTGAAATTCTGTGAAATTAGATTACATTTCAAATCTTCTCTTTCCTTTTTTTTCCAGATTCTTTTTGCACCGAGACTGTTCAGATTTGCATATTTTGTCGCCCCCTTCTGGTGATTTTGGAGGCCGAGGATTGGTTGTTCCTCTTTCTGGTGTTTACTGTTAATTTTTTTTAAAAAACCCTCTAATTTAAATGAATTAAAACAATATTAAAATTTTAAATGTTCTTGTCATTCTTACACACAGCATTAAAAACTGCTTGACCACCGGCCTCCACTGTTCAAGATGTTTAAGTCATATTTAATTTATGTTTTATTTCTACTGAGGCGAGCAGAAAACCCAAAAATTATACTCAAGCACCAGTAGCACTACTTCAACATATCTTTACTAAGGTAAAAGTAAAAAGTATCCATCCAATAAATAATTTAAGTAAGAATAAAAAATAATTTGATAAAAAGTTGACTGAAGCACTAACTGGTCAAAATGATCAATTATTTAATAGTTAAAAATTACATAATCAGACAAACCAAATTATAAAGTTAAGTGGAAATTTTGGTATTTTAAGGACGAAAAGGAAAATAATTCGTATAATTAATAATAATAATTTAAAAAAAAGAAGCTAAATCAGCCAGAATATATTTTTTCCAAATCAGTTTCTTTCTGTTTCTGCCTGAAACTGAAAGTTTGGTTAAAATATATTTGTTTTTCATTTCAGTGGGTAGAAAATCCAGAAATTTTACCGAAGTAAGAGTAGAGATACTTCATAATAAAATTACTCAAATAAAAGTAAAACATACAGAATAGCAAAAATACTCCAGAAAGTAATTTAAAAAAAATCTGATCAGTCAGAATCATTCAGATGATATCAACCAAGCAGGGGGAAATCCTAGAAACCTTCTTTGCTTTCTGCACACGGCCCAGTCTTTGGTGTCACACTGCAAGGAAGGAGGCTCCATGATGATCAGTCCCAGAATGTTTTATTCTGTAAATAAACATTTCAGTAAATAAATAGTGGAGAGAAAGTGATTTCTCTGACTCACTTCATGCACAAACACTGTATGTTTATGATAACTGAAATAACCTGATGACATTGATACATATTTTCACGGCTACACTCTGTGATCAGAGCGATGTAGGAATTAAATATGCTTCCTTTGTGTGTGTGTGTGTGTGTGTGTGTGTGTGTATGCATCAGGCACTAATTGGACTGAATTTCACTGAGTAACAAAAGATCAGACTCGAAAATTCCAGCTCCGGTCTGCACAGGCTCAGCTTTGTTGTCGTTTCGCGGCTGTTTGCTGTGTTAACAGTTATCCCTTCATCTCTCTCTCTTTCTGTCAGAGTCTTTTTCGCCTTCCCTCTCTTTTTCTCCTACAGCCCCTGAAAGGATTTGGTTCCCTCAGCCTCAGCACAGTCACCTCAACTTGTGAGGAGCTTCAAAGCAAACTTTGAAATAGTTTTTTGTAACCCAGGATGGACTGTGGGTTTTTAGTGAAGTGGAGACTTGTGTCTCTGTGAAGCTGGTTGAGGTTTAGGTAAGTCTGACATGCTGGAGCTGCAGAACCTTGAGGATGTTAGCGGCACCGGGCCCCACGCTGATGGACTCGGTTCTGATGATATGGAGTGTAAGATCTGCTACTCTGCGTATAATCTGGACAGCTGCAGGCCGAAGGTCCTGAAGTGCCGCCACCGGCTTTGCTCCAAATGTCTCTGTAAGATCCTGGATCTGGGCGAGTCGCCACCGGACGCCCTGGTGTGTCCGTTCTGCCGCTGCACCACCAGGTTCCTGGGGGAGGCTGTGAGGAACCTTCCGGACGACTGCAGCCTGGTGGCGAGGCTGGCTCTGCAGAGCAGGAATCAGAGGAACTTCCGGATCCAGCCGGACTCTGAGGCGGAGCTGCTGCTCAGCCCACGGCGCCTGAACGCCCTGATGGGGAACAACCCATCCTACTCCGCCTCCAGCATCAGGAGCTCTCCTAACTTTGTAGTCATCACCATCATGGAGCCTCCACCGGCCGCGGCCCAGGACCTCCGGGTCGGCTCCTGCAGACTGACCCAGGACTCGTCCAGTTCAGACTCGCTGGCCTCCGCCTCTCAGCGGTGGACGGTGTGGACCTGCACGGCCCTGATGTGCCAGACCTCGGCCCGGGTTCTGGTGTGGGTTCTGGGCCTGCTGTACTTCAGCTCGCTGCCCATGGGGTTCTACCTGCTCATCATGCAGCGGACCACGGTCGGGGTGCTGCTGGTGAGCCTGGTGCCCGCCAGCCTCGTCTTGATCCTCATCTACGGCTTCTGTCAGTGTGTCTGCTATGAGCTATGGCGCTGCTTGCCACCGTGACGGGGACGAAGAACCGGGCCAATCACAGCTCTTTGAAAATAAAGTGGATGTTTCCAACTTAGACACTGAGAACGATCTAAATAAATCTTATTTGTATCCTCTTTAGTTTCACTTCATAACCTAGTTACTAATTCTATGAGGAATGCTTCAAAAACTCTTCAACATCTGTGGATTTGTTATCTTATACTGTATCAATATTGACTAACTTTTTTAATCGATTAGGACCTTTATTGATAGAAAAAAGGATCAATCTCAACATTTTTCTAGACAATCTTTGGAAATTTCTGAGTTTGAAGAGTTGAAAATATCAAAGTATTGTAGATTAATCTGATATTTTTGTATTTTTATCAGGCAAATTTTCGACTTTTGGAGCTCAGAGATTTCTTTGTTTTTCCAGTAAAATTCTGGGATGGTTTAATGATTAATCTCAGAATTTTTCTGGAAAAAAAAAAAAGTTCTGAGTTTTAAAAGTCGAAAATTTGCTAAAAAATAAAAATCTCAGAAGTGTTGAGATTAATCTAATAATTTTTTTAGAATGTTTTTTTCTGGATTTGAAAGTCACAAATGTTAAACTTTTTTAAACAGAGAAATGGCCAATTCTTTTCTAGAACATTTTGAGATTACTTGCATTAAACTTTAAAGTTAATTTCACATGGTTGATGAATGCAACTAAAATTTCAGGTTAAGTGCTCTCGGAGGCCCCCTGCTGCCCGGGAGCCCACATGCAGCTCAGTTTGCTGAGAAAATTCAAGGCTCATATCTTCATGTGTTCACTTTGCAAATAGCCTGTTAGGCTATTTGTTTCACTGCAAAAATAGTTTTTAGATTTAGTTAAAGTCAGATCGGTTTTGTTGTTCTTCTGTAATAAAAATATTACCTACATTTAATATGTAGTTGCTTTATTTCAGTTTGCCACTTTATTTCACACCATAGCGGATGGCAGTTCGTGTGTATGGTGACACATAAATGAATGACGTTGCACTCCAATAAATAAGACAACAAACAACAAAACTTGACGTCATTGATGTGACACGCAGCCAGAGAATCAGCTGAATGAGAAACTGCAAGCTGGCGGGAATTAAACTTAATCAGATGGAAAGCGTAGCAAAGTTCCTTTCACAATAAAATAACTAAATGGTTTAAAAATAAAATAATAAATTGAAGAGACGAATAAAATTCTGGATGTTCCTGGTGCTGCTATTATTCTGCAATTTAGTAAATTAGTGTAATATCTTTTGTGAGAGACTATAACAGACAGAATTTTGTCCCTAATTGATCAATAATGTGATGACAGAATTGATAGAAAAGTAACAGGTTCTACCATATTTATTATTATTATTATTATTATTATTATTATTATTATTATTATTATTATTATTCAATATGTATTTTTGTTTTAGAATGACATTTTATTTCTGTTGGCCATTTTTTATGTGACCAACTCAGATTCTTGTCATAATAAAACTCAAATAATAAAAGTAACAATAATACTCTTTAAGGATTCACATTAATAATAGAAATAAGACATTTTGCATTTTAGATTAGTATTATTTAGATTACATAATGTTTCAACTCTTATTATTTCCCACTTTATTTAATTTCCATTTGGGATTAATGAAGTATGTTTTAATTATTTAAAAAAAGAACGCAAACACAGAATTTTATTTTGAAACCCCAATCTGGAAATGGCCACAGTTAATACAGGAAATTGACTCCATGCTACCATAGGTGGAGCGCAGCGGCAGAGAGCCGTTAAGCAATGCTGGGCAGCCGGGAAGAGAGCGCCGCTGGCGGACAGGAAGCGGCCCCCGGGCCGGTGGGCCCCCCGGGGCCCCTTAACCCGGAGCACCGCGGGCAGGAGAGGGCCCCCGGCCGGGCAGGGTGGCGTGTCAGGGGTCTGGTCAGCTGGAGGCAGCATCCGGTCAGGACGTCAGCCCTGTTTGCTGCAGCCAACGCGGTGATCTGGTAGGCATCATGACGCAGGGATATCCGACAAGCAGACCTGTTAAAACAACACCACGATTTTAGATCAAATATAAAATATGAAGCAGTTCAACCTGATCTTTAGATTTATTAATAAAGTTGGTTTGAACAGTTTTTATTAAGAGTAAATATTCCCAAGTCTAATTTAAATAAAGTATGCTGTCCTATAAATATTTTTAAGGAGTTCAACGTTGAAATTTCAATAAATTAGTTTATTTTAATTTTAAAGTTGCATGTATAATTATGATGTGTGGTTGTAATAAATACTTAATAAAACTTTAAAAAAGTGTTTTGCTATTGAGAAATGTCACTATTATCCACTAATGGATAATAGTTTAATTATTCAGTTCAGCTCTTACTCAGGGCGAGGAGATCAACATTTTATATTATTATTACTTTAATAATTGATTATTCTGAAAATGAATACTTTAATATGATAAAATAAACTGACATTTTCTGCACATTTTTCATTTAATTTACTTAAGCTTATTTTTATACAATGTTACAAATACATAAAATATATAAATAAAAACTAATCATTCAATCTCTTTTTGCAATTAGAAAATAAACATTTTATTTCCTAAAATTCAAAATTCAGTAACCGCTCCTTAGTGAACACTTAGTTATTTCTAGCAAAGGATGCATCTGCAGCTAATCAATACAGTGTAAGTCTGGTGATTTATTTTTTGTTTTATTGATTAGTAATTGGATGCAACAGGTACTTAACCGGAGATTTTTATTTTATTTTATTTATTTATTTTCAGAATTTGAACCTACAGGTGAAACTAAAACTATGCTACTTTCTGGGTAACTTATTTACAGACAAAGAATTTTCATCTTAAATGCAAAATCTAATTTTTCTTTCTAACAGTTTTAGATTAATTACTGCTCTAAGTGTTTTATTCTTTCAGCAAATAACATGTTTTAAAGTCTGTATACTCCAGTTAATGATTGATTGATTGATTGCTAAATTAGCTGACGATTAGTTAAATAATCAATTCATCCGATTAATAATTTCAGTCCTAATCTAACTGACATGTTTTCTTTTGCACAATCTGTAAAGTTGCATTTAATAGAAAATTTTCATTTGATCTTTTTTTATTTCCAAATGTCTTTATATTTGCCTAAAAAGAACATACATTTTACGCAAGTAGAAAAAATCTAATTTAGTTTAATGTTAATTGATCAGACATAGAAACTATAAAGTACTATACCACTGTTATTATAATAACTGTTATTTGACTGGAAAATAATTTTACAGGTATAAATATTAGAATATTAGCATGATGGTTTATTTAACATTATTTCTTCTTTTTGCTCCTTTTTGAACAATAAAAACCCTTTAAATGAGTTTATTGTGACACTTTATGAAACCAAATTGTCTCTTTTGAGCTAAAACTCGGATTTGTGTTTGTAGGTTTGTTGCCTTCAGCTCTTTTCGGATCTACAGCCTTATTTCCATCCTGTTGATTCTGCTGGTCGTCACGGTAACCGCAAGAGATGCTGTTTGGACCAGAACCAAAGGTTTCTTTCTTCCATCTGTTGTCTACACACTTACACCCTTACAGAGACCGATGAGCCTAGCAGTCATGTTTGTAACTGTGGGAGGAAGCTGGAGTACCCAGAGAGAACCCACAGGGAGAACATGAAACTCCACGCAGAAAAAACCAGGACGCCATTTTAACCCAAAACCTTCTTGTTGCTAGGCAACTGCCCCACCATGCATGAATTGATGTAATTTTTGGACATCACATTTTAAGTGCCAGTCGTTAACACTCTGCATACACATTGTTTCAGCGACATGTTAAGATATTTTATCAAGTAAAGCAGGGCTGGAACGATTAATCGAGACGAATCGATTAATGAAATAATCATCAATTAATTTAGTAATCAATTAATTTTTCACAGGAGAAATTATTGTTCTGTCTTTTGAGACATTAGAAAGGATCTTTATATTTTGTAGAAAAAAACATACCAAGAGCCAAAATTAAGCCCAAACTGTACACAAATTATAAATGTTTTTAATTTAAGATCACAAAGTCTCTTGGTCTGTAAATCTGTTCTACCCAGAAATCTGGAAGTGGCAGTTCAGCTTCGCCTCGTTCAAATTCAGGAAGATAAATCTCCTATTGAGCATCTTTTGCTGTAGTTGCATTTTAGGCAATTAAATTTTCATTTTCTTATTTAAAAATAAATTGAATTATGAGTGTGTTTGCACATTTTAAGTATTTATAATATTGTTTAAAAATAATTGGTTAATTGAAAGATTTGCAGAATGGAAGTTTTTAAATCCGATTAATCACTAGAATAGTCGATTACTTAGTTACAAAGATAAATGGATTGATGGATGGATTTATTGATTTGATTTATTGATGGATTGATTATATTAACTCTTCCTCAGAGTTAAGATGCTTAGTTTTGAGCTTAATACAGAATGTCAATATACTAAAATATTTATCATTTTTAATGTCTCAAAACAAGTTTTCATGCTGACATTATTCATATTCTGTGCAGATTTGTTATAAAAATTAGTAAATTTTTCATTGTCTTCCTGCTGTCATTAAACATTTATATTACTTAGTCCAGTAATTGGGTCGTTTTTGGACAGGATTGTGTCTCAGTGTTTTTTTTAAAGGTTATAAAAGTTTAAATTAATCATCCTGGACAGCTTTATGTTCATTTTCTCCGGTCAGATGTTTCAAACTACAGGCAGGCCCAAACTCAGGTTCCTCCACTGGCAGATGATTTCATTCAACGCTTCGTCATTTTTATCCTGATGAGTAACAGTGAGGCACTGAAACCTGAAACCTGTGGCGTCTCATCGCTAATGCACTCCTCTTTAAAGAAGGAAAAAATGACTCTACTTCTGCATTTAGTTCAGATACAAGGAGCTAAAAGTCTGTAGCTTTTTATCACACTCAGATTACCTGGATAAATGTGTTTTAGGTTGATTTTTCATGTTGTTGCTCTTCATCTTTTCCTTTAAGTGTCACTAATAAAAAACAACTTTGATATATTTAAGTAGTTATATTGTAAAGTACCATCTACGTTCAGAGCTGTTTTTTCCTCCACAGGAGCTCCTGTGTGGCGCAGCATGACCAGCAGGTAAGACACAAAGCAGGAAATGTGTTTGTTTCACCTGAAAGAGTCAAATATCCGGTCAGACTGGAGGCTTATGTACATTTTGACTGGATCAGAGGAAACCCAAAATGTGTCACTAAAATCCTCAAATTTAACAAACATACATACTGAAGGTAAACACCTGATTCTTCCCAGTGAAACGGATCCTGTTTGCTCTCAGGCTGCCTGATGTAAAAGCCAAACACCTTGATTGAAACATAAAGCTGATCATGTTGACATCACATGAAGGAAGGTCTAACTGGATAAATGTGACTCCAAATTGGAGTTACATGATCCGGTAGGTGGAAGACGTCTAACTCTGCTGGACGGACAGAAACGCTCAGCTGCAGAGAATTGAGTTAGTTTTCTCCAGCTGGATCAGGACACCGAGTGCAGAAAGAAACTGAGACTTCTGCTGTTTTCTGAAAGCTCTTTTTGTTGTTTACATGTGTGAATATTATAACCTGGAGGAGGTTTTACCTCCATCATACATACTACGCACTAATCGGTAGCCACAAAGCTAATGCTTATCATGCAAACAGCAGCCCTGCATTGAAACTACCATATTGGCAATTAAAAGCTATGAAAGGCTGGAGAGAAAGATGTCATGTGATTTTGGATAGAATCAGGAGGAAGCCCACTCCCTGAATAAAAATCAAGTTTATACATGAATTTTATGATTGTACTGAAGGAAGTTTTCACATTTTCTTCCCAGGATTCATCAGAGAACATAGTTTTTTACAACCCTTCAGTCGTCCGTCCCTGTTGGCTTGTTCTGGCCTGCTGAGTTTACTGCACTTTTATTATTTGGATTGTTTGATTAAAACAAACTCCTAGATGTGGCTAAAAAGTTACTTGTTAGTTTTATTTTATTTCTAGTCTACTTAGATATTTGTACTAAATATAATCGGTAAGATTCTGTGTTTTGCAGCGTTGCTCTGTTGCTCTGCAGCAAAAAGGTTTTGAGTCCAAATCCTGGTCTTTGTCTTTCTGTGTGGAGTTTGGTTGTGTGTCTCTGTTCCCCTGTGATGGGTCAGTGACCTTTGACCTCTTCCAATGGCTGCTGGAGACAAGCAGGTACAGAATGAATGGATAAACGTTGAAAAGCTGGTTTCAACGTGTTTCAGTCCCCCAGAGCCTTCAGCTGTGTTCTGTACCTGCCACCTTAAAAATCAAAACCATCTATTATCTTGTGACAAATGGTGTTTGTACTGAAGGTCAGAGCAGATTCACAAGCTGCTGCAGATTTAGTTTGAGAAATTTAGAGACGCTTTAGATCTGGCATCAGTTCATGCTCTAATTAGATCTTCCTGAAATCTAATAGCTCAATAAATAAGAGTTAATATGATCAAAACATAACCAGATTATCTGCATAACTAGAGGTCCTGCATGTAATTCAGTCTAAATAAATGTTTAATTAGCTCAATGATCCTGCCTGCAGATTTTATTGATTTGGATTCAATTTCATTGATTAAATTTTTCATTATTTCCTGCAGACTTTTTATGCATAAATGTAAATCCGTTAACATTCAGCGACTTTAGAGTTTGTGCAGCTAAAGACATGATTGTCAAATGAGACATAAATCAAAACAGGAAAAATCTGAGTCCACAGAGAAATGAACTGTGAATAAAAATGACTGTTAAGGTGTTGAATTTATCACATTTTTATATTTTGTTTTGTTTTACTCAGTTGATTATTTTGATTAACAGCTCACTTGTTGCTCCAGAACATTTTGAGGTAAAAATCTAAAGAGGATTTAATATACTGTTGTGTTTTATTTCTGCTTTTACATCAAACTTGCAGAAAATAACCTGATTTCCTGTTTATGAGAAAAACAAACTTTGATTTATGTGAGCAGATGTCCCAAACAGTCTGATGAGTTTTTTATGTACATCTCTGGGATTATGACATCATACGATGTTAACATTCTGATAAACACACCAACAAATCCACAGTAGCACTTTTAAACATTAATATTTATCTGAAGATAAATATTAATGTTAAAGCTGTTCGACTTTAACGTTTTTATTCATGTTCCTTCACACAAGCTGCAGGAACCTGAAAGGATCTGAATTTATTCTTTTTCTTTTAACAACACCTCACAGTAATTCTTTCCTTTCTGATTTCATTGAATTTTTCACATCCTGTTCATCTTATTATAGAGATAATACAGATTCATGAACCTGAATCTGGACTGCAGCTCCAGAGCTGATTGATCACATATGACCATCTAATCTAATCCTCCTATCTGAGGCTGAATCATGTGATCAGCATAGAAACAACCAAAACAGAGATTCAACCTCTGAATGAACTCACTGCTAACAGATCAATACATTCACAGTAAGTACATATTTAGAGAAATGTGTTTTTGCTGCTTCCATACAGTTAAACACTTTTAATGAAAGTTTAATGAAAACTACAATATTATGCTTACACTGCAAAAACTCTAAATATTTTTGGTCTAGTTTTTATTGCAAATTTCTTAATACACTTGAAATGTAACAAAACTATCTTACAAGTAACTTTTCAGTAAGAAATAGAAGTGAGTTTTGAGTTAATTCCTTAATATTGATGAAAATGTACTTGTTCCATTGGCAGATAAATTCACTTATTACGAGATATTTTTCCCATGTTATAAGTGAAATTATCTGCCATCTTTTCCATCAATATTAAGGAATTATTTATCTAAAATAAGCTCCTATATTTTGATGAAAAGTTACATGTAAGTTAGTTTTGTCTCATTTCTAATGTATTACTAGAAACTGGACCAGAAATACTTAGTAAAATTGAGTGTTTTTACAGTGCAGGATGGTTCCTGTGATCACTTCCTCCGTCCTTCAAGCAAGATTATCACAATATCGTCTTTGCTGCTGGAAGTCACTGAACAGGTTGTTGCTAGGTAACCATGTAGTGAGTGAGTTGCTAGGTAACCACATAGTGAATGAGTTAGTTGAAGACACCAACTTTGCTTTGCTAGCCATGACAGGTTGAGGGGCTAAAGCTTTTCCTCTGCCTACATCTCCGAGAATGCCGTGCGGTTCTGGATTGTGGAATTATTGAACATTCTATCAGAAGTTTTATCTATTGATGCTGATCATATGTCTACTGGGCTTTGTATTGTTATTGGTTTATTGATCAGCCTTACTCCTCTCACCTTTGCCTGAGTTATGACCCTTGCTGAGGATCGCAGGCTGCTCTCCGTTGGAACGTCGTCCAGTGTTTGGTTGGTCCGTTCCTCCCGGCCACAGCTGGCTGCTGCCTGGGATTCAGCAGAGGTGTCAGGGATTAGTGGGCGCCACGCTGGATGCAACACATCAGCATTATGCAACAGACCGATGGTCGAGTTCGGGTCAAGGATGATCCAGGGTTTGCGTGTTAAGAGATAAAAACAACATGGCTGCTTTACAAAGACTGAAGTTGATCAGGTTGTCATGGAGACGGCTCTGTTGACCATTTGAACGAGCGCCACCCATTGTAGCGCCGTCTCTATGTCACTGTGACATTTGGCTAGCAGGATGGGATTGTGCCACCGCCACCTGCTGCTGTCGCTCCCTGTTGCATTGTGGGTAACTCTACTGCAGGCTTACAGCAAGTTCAGGAGATTAGCTGCTGACCCGAAATGCAAACTGACAGCTGCAGGATCAGAGCCATCTCTCTGTCTACGTGCCTTTTTATGTGTATGTGGAAAAGCAAAAACCTGCTGGGGAAATCTTTAACATAGTGGCCGAATTTACCTTATTTGGCTCTGATGCCTTAATCCTAATAATGCTCCACAGCCTTCTACATGCAACACTTACTAAACAAATGGGTGAATATTTTAATGTTTAAGATATAAAAAGAACCACAGATTTCTGATCTAGCAGATAAAAATTGTGATTCGATCATAATGCGGTAACACTTTGACATAATTCACCATGAAAGTAAAACTGTGAAGATAAGACACAAATTTAGTCCAAGTTCTGTGCAAATCATAAGAAATTTATTTAGTTGTTCTTCAGTGCAGGGGGGACACAGCAGGGGCCCGGACCTGTTCTGTAGGGGCCGTGGCCCCTGATGGCCCCTGTCTAGAACCGCCCATGGTTTTTGTTTTTCAGCTCATTCCTTTGTGTTCAGTTTTCTTTGTGTGGGATTTCTTTAGATCTTTATTTCCTCCTCAGCTCATGTTCAGGCACATATCGGCAGATTAAAAGCTAAAATTTCATGTCAACAATATCAATATTAAATAGAATATATTCTAAAAGAAATGTTATACTGTTGCATAATATTCCCATACATTAAATTTCGTCATCTGCAGAAACTGCTGAAAAACCAACACAAACTCGACTTCTTGCTTCAGAGGAAAGCTGTAAGAATCACATTATCGTCATCCATAAAATATTTATGACATTTCATACTTTAAGTTTAAGATTTAGAGATCAGAACCGGATGGACAATATGCAAAACTTATAACAAACTCCTCCCAAGTTTTATGAAAAAGTGGTTTGAAATTAAAAGTATTAGTTAAAAGAGAGAGGTTTGTTTTAAAAAAAATAACTAAATGCCAGAATAAATATTAAAAATAATTGCACTTCAGTAGGAGGGATTTGTGTGAGGAGATAAACATGTTTTCTTCACTTTTTAGATAAATTAAAAAATATATATCCTAAATAAACACAATAAAGGTTTAACTGTAAGTGTATATTTTTTCATGAGCTTGTTTATAGGTTTATATTTTTTTATATTTATATATATATATTTAAAATACACCAGAAAGATGTTGCTGTTTTGAATGCATTTATTTAAGGATTAGGTAAAGCAAAACAGAAAATCTGTAAGAAGACACATTTCTTTTTACAGCACTGTGTAAAGTGACAGAGGAACAGAAAACTGAAGGAAAATTCTCAAAGAAAATGACTAAAAGTTCACCAGCAGCAGCAGGTGAATGAACACAACAGAAGATAAAAAAAACTCCCAAGGAAAACAGAAAACAAATCAGTTCTCTGAGCAGAAAACACAAAAACAAAGATCTAACATGACAGCAGAAGTGAAATAACTCTGTGTGGCAGGCAGAGGGCAGTGGAGAGTAAATCAAAAATCTTTTTTCCGTTGTGAAGTAATAATTTATATAAACTAAAAGTAAAATATCTAACTGTCCTGAATACATTAGGATTTCATTTTAAGGGGAACCACGATTAGTTATTAAAAATAGACCTTATTTAGGAAATAGTTATCTTGTATGTAAAAACAATACAGTAATAATGTAGGTTATTTAGGTTTTTATAAATTTTAATAAACTATTTTGACAGGAATGTCGCCATGTTGTTCACGCTGCAACACATTCTGGGTAAATGATGCGTAATGGTCCAACTGCCTGGCTCCTCCAGCCAAAACATTAATGACTTACTTTATTAAGCCTTTTTAATTTGAACCGGTCTTGTGCGAAATTCTGTTACCTGTAAGTACTTCTGTAGCTCTGTGTCCAGTTTGGCCACAGCGGTTTAGGGTCCGAATTTCGTTCGGTGTTGGTGGTGACTTTACGTTTAGCACGGTGATTAGCTCCATTAGCATTTCCGGTAGTAATAGCTCTGTTAGCGCTGCTTGTTTCTCCCAACTGTGTCCGGTTCGGCATCAGTTGTGCTGTGTAGAGTCTGCTGCGGTGACAGATACCGGACTTTGCTACCAACACCGAACCTCCACGGTCCGGTCAGGTCGGTGGTGTGAGCACCGCAGGCCGCCGTATAGCCCCTGTTAGCATCTCAAAGAGCGTCCAGCTCTGCCTGTCTCAGCGGCAGCACGGCATTTATTTTTAGCTCGTTAAGATAACGACCACCTGTTAGAGCCTTCGTTGGTTTTACTGGTATGAATGACTCAAAGTGTTGTGGAGAAAAGTCCAGGGTCCAGATTAGGTCCTTCATTGTGTTCTGCTCCGGCTCTCACTGCGCTCTGCTTTCTTTATGTGGGAAATTATCCAGATTAGCCTCTTTTTTTTTATCACAGCCGATAGTGACACAGTGTGGTATTTTCTAAAATTACACCAGTCAAATGACAACAACTACTGGGGTAAAATTAGCCTTAATGTGTTTACTCTGTAGACTCTAGTACAGAATGGACCAAAACGCGTCATCAACCCATCGGTGAAAAAATGGTGACCTCCATGGATGAAAAATGTAACAAAAGATGTAAATTTTTGAAGTTATTATGAGTTTTGGCGTATCACAAACAGCATTTTTTTTAGGCAATAAGAAAATTGCAACATGTTCCAACATGTTCATTTAGTCCTGGATCCTTTTAAGCTGAAAAAGGAAGAAAGAAAAAGAAGAGTAATACCTTTTTTAATTTGCCACACATTGCAACTGAGATCATTTAGGCTTCAACACTGTAATGTTTTAACAGGAGTTTTTTAAATTTCTCAGTATTTCTCTGGAAGTCCCTTTGGCCTGTAGCGGTTTGGATCTCCTCCGCTTCGTCCCCAGTGATTTGCTGCCTGATCAGCAGCTTCGTCTTCAGGACCCTGACCCGACATTCCCTGCACCAACTCTCTGAGATCACTGAAAAGGAAAATCCACAATATCACTATGCAGAAACAAACTTGCAAAAAGGAAACAAACTGATCTGTAGACGGTTTCATCCATTATTCCTGCTGGCTGTAAACAGAGAGCTGCTGTGTGACGTCTATGTTTTCTTTTAGAGGTCGTAAACCATTCGCACAGAAGCAAAAAACATCGGATTTAATCAAAAAATCTGAATTGAGCATCAAGACCTTCTGTTTGAATATTTAGGGGGTTTTTTCTCTGAAAGCTGCATTTATCAGAGGTTTTCTTGGGCTAAGATTTTGCACAAGGTGGATGAGATTTATATAAGTGCTATAAAAGGAAATCACACCAGCAATTAACATTTTAGTTATTTTATATTGGTCCATGTTGTCCAGGATTTGCATTACCATAAGACTGAGTTGCAGAATCATTCAACAAATTCTTGTTCTAAACTTTTTTTCAGCTCATAAATCTGCAGTTTAATACATTTGAACAGTTCTGCACATGAATGCATCACATCACCTCACAACAGCAAAACAATGATCTTAAAGTAATCATCTGATCTCTCTCTCAGTCTGACCTTCTTAGATCTTTGCTGGTGTTTGACCTTTGAAGACTCTTTCTCACCTGATGACCTCTGCAACCCACACGCCTCCTGGTCCTCTCTGCGCAGCTTCATAGTTTCCTCTGGCATGAAAGTATTTATCACCGTTCTTCCAGTTGGATTCTTTCATGTCATGATAGGCTCTCCACATATCAACAGCTCCTTAACAGAAAAAAGCACCAGATATTCATTTAATATAACCCTGCAGACTTTCAGTAACAACCCCAGGACTGACTGTCATATTTCCTACCTTGAGCAGCTTCACCAGGAAAATTGTACCAATGAGCTTCAGATCCAGCGATGAAAATTAGAACAATTCCTGCTAAAAGCATCTTCATTGTTGCAGAAGCCTGAAACAAAAGTAAAACTGGAAATACACCAACATATGCAGAAGTTTTGAGGAATTTTCTAGATTAAGTACTTACTTCTCAGAGTGTGCAGACGTTTCAGTAAAACCTCAAGGATTCGTTCTGCTAACTGCAGAGACAAGTCCCTTTTATATTCTGTGGCAACAAATGGGCTGTATTTCAGAACCGGGGGAAATCCAGATTATTTTTTACAATACCTGACTGGTGAAAGTGAAAGAAGAGCGCATCATATCAAAACAGAAACAAACCATGTTACCCTCTGGGTTTTTCTTTTTATTTGGTAGGTTTAAGAATTGAGTCATTATGATGCAGTTTTTCCACAGCAAGAAAAAATAAAACTGGAACTGTGTGCGTGTGTGTGTCCTATTTAGGACCATTTCTGGCATAGACCAGTGGCCCTTATGGGGCCAAAGTCCGGTTCTAATGCAGTGCCATGGACCCCCTTGTATAAGGTCAGGGGTCAGGTTTAGAGGTGGGGTATGAATTAATTTTTGGTTAGGGTTGGTGAAAATGTCTGGTTTAGTCATCATAAATGTTTCATTTTATTGATATTACAGATAAAGTTTGCCAAAATGGGTTTATTTATTCTTCAAATTCATTTTTGTTCAGTCTGAAAGTTATTTTCTCCTGGCATTTATTGATGTAAAAGTTTCGTTCTGTTGCTCTTGACAGTTGGCGGTTACCATTTCCACCAGAAACTGTCAGCTCCTCCCCTTTTTCCGTTGTTGCCTGTAACTGTATTAAGCATTAAGATCAGCTCTGTGTTCTCTTTACAGATATTATATTTTAGCATATACCTCAGAGAAATGTAGTTATACACATGGTTTCATGAGTCACACTGCCATGTTTTGCATGTTTTGTTTTTAACTGTTTATATGCATTTTAGCTGTGAACAGTCTTACCTTTTTTTTCTAAATATTTATAAATATAACTGTGAATAATGTCTAAAAATTGAATGATCCACAAAACATTGTTCTATTATAGTTAATTTATGTGAATTGGTAAAATGTTAAAACATGTAAACCTCTTTATATTCAAAGGTTTATAACAAAGGAGGGCAACTCCAGGCCTGGAGGGCCTCTTACAACTTTTAGATGCGTCTCTACTTCAACACACCTGAGTCAAATAATGAGGTCATTAGCAGGACTCAGGAGAACTGGACTGCACTAGGAGGTGATTCAGCTGTTGGATTCAAGTGTGTTGGACCAGAGAGACATTAAGAGCTGCAGGACACCGGCCCTCGAGGACCAGGATTGCCCACCCCTGGTTTATAACCTCACGCTTAGTTCCTGTAATCAGTCCTTGTCCAAGTGTCACAACATGTAATTCGGGCTCTGGCCACTAGATGGCAGTTCTCAAACTGATTTTACATTAGTAATTTTTCTACATGTCATTGCGATATGAGCAAAATGCCCTGAACAAAATGGCCGCCTTTTGTTTTGTCATAAGGAGCTCAGGTCTGTTTGCACTCATTGAACAGATTATTCAGTTCCTCCAGGAAGTTGCAATCTCATATTTAAAGCATTTAATGCAAATTCACATCACCTTCTTAATTTCTGTATTTCCTTCTTTTCTGACCAATCACTGCAACTCGGCTGAATTTTAACCAATTCAGCCCAAAACCCCATTTTTATTTAACTTCCTGTTTCAGTACATCTCTTGAAATCATTTTAAGATCTTAGGATTTGATTACACTAACACCAGATTATTTTAACTTGAATGACCAATAAGAAATAATTCTTTTGAAATGATTTTATTGGTATTAATGGTGATATTCCAAGAAGGTATTTGAAAATGTTATTTGCACTTTTAAATATTGTTAAAATTCCTGTCTTTTTTTGGGGGGGAAGGTTATGAGCAGCAATTTTAAATTTTTTATAAACTTATTATGGCAAAGATATAGCTTTAAGAAAATTTGCCGATTTCTCTGCAGCTATTTGAAAAAGAAGCCACAAAATCGGTAATTTTATGCTGCAACAGTCACAAGAAAACATCACATCATCCTGGAGGTACTGAGTGTTTGGGCTCATTAGGAGTGTGTGTGTGGACTGGGGACTTGCCCGGGATTTACCCAGTGTCTCATCCAATGGCTGCTGGATAATGGCTCCTGCCCCCCATGACTCTTCATGGATAAATGGATTCAGACGTACGGATGGATAGAGAAGTTGAACTTACGGATAACATTGTCAGAATGTGAGACAGAGTTGTCCTCTTATCAGTCCATCCATCTCTGTCACTGGGAGTGTGTGTGTGTTTGTGGGGATGGGGGTGATGTTGATATTGGGCAGGTGGGTGGGTGTTGTTGGTGGTGGCAGCTGTTTCATGAAGACCCCCCTCCACCCTCAACCCCATTCCTCTGTACTCCTGACGGCTGCCGGGTGGAATGCAGCGTGACCCAGTTATTTTTAGACGAGCCCACTTGAAATACTCCAAGCTGGGTTTCATTGAGGATAAACAGAATCTGCTGTCAGACTGTCGCCTGCTTTGCCGTGATTTAGCTGCTGAAAAATACTGATTCAACCTCAGTGTTACATCCTACCAGAAAACCTTGTTCTCGTAGTTCCTTCAACACCTCTGGAAGACTTGTGCTAACATCTGGAGATGTCTCCTGAAGATCGTGGGGCAGGACTAAGGTACAGCGCTTTGCTAGAGACAAAGAGTTATTGTCTGATCGATGCTTTTTGTTTTTTCTTGTCTAGTGAGTTCTTGGATTTGAGAGTTTGGGAGATAATTAAACTGCTTCCATCACACATCTTTAGCCACCGTTGTTGGGCTTTTTATGCTCGATGTAATTCCAGGAAGATGGTTCCCTATAATTAGGATATTTATGACCTGGTTTCATGGTAAAACTACGGCAGCGTTATTGCATCCCAGCTCTGCGTCTCCCCATCTCTCTGAAGTCTTGAGTTACTCGTAGCTTTTTGGTTTCCAGTGTCGACACTCGCTGGTTGGCTTTTCTTGTTGACGTTTACAGGGAATCGGATCAGCCCGTTCCGCCCGGTTACTGTATGTGTGTCTGTATGCAGAACATAAACAGGGATTAGTTGCATCAGAGACAGGGTTGTTGTAGCAAATAGCCACACAAACAGGCGGGTAAACATATTAACACCCCCGCCTCCAAGCCGCATCATAAGATAATTCTGCTGCCATTAGTCACATTGTTTGTCTTGGGTCTATTTTAGAAAGTGTCATGACCGGGCTTGTTAGAGGCTCAGCAGTGCCGTCCTCTCTGTTGTTTCTGAGGTCCTGATAGGGTTAAACAGGATTTCCGTCCAGCAGCTGCTCCTCCCTTTGTCGCCCACGTCTGACTACCAAGGATCAAACCCTGACAAGGTCCATCCTTTCACTTTAAATTTGGATTTATACATTTTTTCAGAACCAGCTTGGCACCTAATTGCAGAAAGAAGGAGCAGATGCTTTTCACCAAGCACATGTTGCTCCAAGTGTTTTGCAGAATCATCCGCGCATGGTCAGCTACATCACGCTCTCTGGAAATCAGAGTCTAACAGGCGCGTGTGCTTGGAAGTCGTGCAGTGGGCCGGGTTTCAGCGGACATTTCGTCATAGGAGTTACTTGAGACGCTGACGTTTTGGTCAGGTGGGCGCAAATGAGACACTACAGCTTTTTGTGGCCACCTGTGTTTGTTTCCAGCAGCTTCTTAAGTCATTATGAAGAGATGTTGGGGAAAGAAAAAGTCCTTCTACGGTCTGTTCTGTGTGCCCAGACAATGGAAACAGTTTGTACTTAAAAACAAAACCTTTTTGTCAGATGCGCTAACCTGGAAGATACATTTGAGACATGACACACTAACTTAAATCAGATTTGTTGATGAATTCACTGGGAACCAACCAATAAACACTGTAGAAATATCTGGTTAGAACAGCATGCTGGTTTCTGTTCCTTTGCTTTCGCTTCCCATTGAAAGTTCACCTGGTCCAGTGGGTCTGTGTTTGCCTGAATCCTCACTGCACCACTGCTGTGGTTCTTGCTGAAGTTCCTCCTGTTAAAATAAGTTGTTGCTGTCCATTGTCGTGCGACAGACTGGCGACCTGTCCAGGTTGTACCCCGCCTCTTGCCCGGAACGTTAGCTGGAGATGCCAGCAACCCTCCTGACCTCACTAAGGACAAGGGTGTACAGAAAATGGATGGATGTCCACTGTCGCCCTCTGCTGACTCAGGATGGGGGATTGCACCATATTTAAAAAGAATAAAATTGAATTTGGTTTTGTAAAGTGTCTTGAGAATAATAAACCTATAAAATGACTAAAACGGCAAACAAAAAAGCTTGACTATTTGTGATGAAGTTTGTGGAGGAGGTCAGTGGCTGTGTTGTTGTGTTGGAGGATCAGGATCAGACAAAGGATACACTGAAGGAGGCTAAAGCCAGCTAATCATTAAGCCAAAGCAAATAAATGCTTTGGCGTTTGAGTTAGGTGGTCATTCTGTGTATTAGATTGGAGAGCTATAAATGCTCAGATTAGCCTGAGAGGTTGAGCAACTGATAGACTGGCAACTTCCCTGGGTTTAACTCCACATCCCCCCTCTTCCCAATGAAGGCTGGAGAGGCAGAAGCATCTCACCCTCCTGGACTTCAGGGTTTCAGTGATATAGATAAGGAACAGAAGGATGCAGCAGTGGGCACCGCTAACTGAAAGGTTAGCAGCGCTAACACTAAGGAGGTAATTATAAACAGTTCCACTAATGCTAAATAGTTATACCAACATGGTATTTATGGGAAGCTAATTCTAAAGCTTCAAATCCAACCATCACAAGATTAACATAAAGAGGCTCTGAAAACATATATGTACATTTCTGCTTATAAAGTGCTATATCAACATGGTATTTAGTGGAAGCTAGTGCTAAATCACTATACCAACAAACTATTTATCAGGAGCTAATGCTTAAGCACAAAACCAACCTTGTATTTAGGAAATACTAATACTAAAGTGCTATATTAAGATTATATCTAGGAACCTATGCTAAAGCGCTATATCAACATTGACTTTAGCTAGAGCTAATGCTTAATCACTATGTAAACAAGGTATTTAGCAGATGCTAATGCTAAGGCTCTAAATTCAACCATGTTGGCACCCAGGAGAACAGGAAGAGGCTCTCAAAACAATTAATATATTTACATATTTGTATCTACTTGTATAAAAGTAACACCCTAGTTGTTCATTTAAGTGTTGAATTCGTCCATATTCGTCATTCGCTCGTTTGTTGTACACAGTTGGGGAGGAAACTGTTTGTGTTTAGTAAATATTTGTGCGTTTTGATTCAAGAACCACATTGATGTAAAACCTGAACTTCCTTAATTAACCACTGCAAATCCAATTAACTGAGTCTTATACAATATATGTGCAAACATCATCAACCAATAAACAACCATCTAAAGTGTAAGCAGTTAGTCGTAAATACCAAGAGGAGATGACTGAGTTGTTGCTGCAACTTGATCTTCATGGTGATTTTGCAGCAGTTGTTCGCTGTTTCCAGGACAGCTGCTCACACAGGACAGGAAGTTTCCATCCTCAGCTGGATTTAAATTTAGTGCTTAGTCGTTTCACGTGATGAACACGATCAGAACAACAGCTCGACAAATTTAAAAGGAACAATCACAGGCATTAAGCCGGAAACAGTTCCACTTGGCCTGGGTTAAACTACGCAGTTATCTTCTGTTCGCTCTGTTCCCACATTTTAAACATAGTTTTAGCCAAAAAGTGGCAACTCTTGATGTAATGATGTAATAAATTTTTTACATTCATTAAAAAAACCTCTCATATATTTCTAGCTGACCTGGGGTTGGATCATTGTACATCACAGCATGACCAGTGTATTATCACTTCAGTGGGTTGGCTTTGAAACAAGGACAGATGAAGGATCAACATTCCAGTGCTTGGATTTAAGAGAGGAAACATGCCTTGCATTTTACACCCTTACCTGGGTTTTCCCAGGCCAGTCACGGTTTGTCCTTGTTATGTAAAATAAGAACAGGAAGTGATGCGAGGGAACTCCCAGGAAAGAAATGAAAGTTTTATTTTTCAGCTGTCTCTGAATTCCCATCTTACTCTGGAAAACTCTGTCTCCTCCCGGTTGCCGTCTGACACCTGCTTTAGCAATCATCCTCCTGGTGTTTCATTGGTCATGCCTAAATTTAGTGGTGACACTGGATTTTAACAGGCTGTTTTACATGCACTAAATCCTCAGCTAAATATATGCATCGACATCAATTATGCAAAGAAACAAACAGCAAATGATGTTCATACACATCATTTCAAGCCTTTCTTTCTGTTATTTATGATTTTCCACTTAGAGCTAATTAATTCATGACCATTGAGGTTAGAATATCACATCGGATTGTCTAAACATCAACCCAACTTAAAAGTGATGTATACGTTTTTATTCTTGTTTTTATTCATTTTTTTGTGTTACTACTCTAATATATACAAAGTTAAACTGCTTGATGTAATTTGGTAAAAATCTGTCCAATAACAAACAGATTCCTGTTTCATTGACACCAACCCCTGCTTGTGAAAAACCCTTTTTAACAGCTCAGCTGTCAGAGAAGCAAGGCGTTGGGGATCCTCATCTGATGAAGGGACACACATTTTTCAGCTTCAGTGACTGATTCTGGTTCCTGGGTTTGTGTGGTTCTAGTTGGGAGATCATTGATTCTGGGCAGGACAGCCGGTCCAGAACCGGACCTCAACTCGGTGACTCCCTGAGACTTTTCATCCAGGAGACGTCGGCGTTCAAACAGCAGAACCCTGGCAAGGTGAGCCTGACAACCTGGCAACATGAGTTTGTCATAAAACAAACAAACAGAAACAAATCTGAGTGAAGATGTTTGTTTGTGTTTTTCCTGCTGTAGTTCTGCCTGCTGGTCTGCAGTCTCTGCACCTTCTTCGCTCTTTTGGGTCGCTACGTTCCAGGAATCGTTATCTCCTATATCATATGTGAGTGAAGCGACCTGTCGCACTCTTTTCTACTTATTTTATAATTACTGTATTGATACGTGTTGCATCGATCGTTGGTTCCTTCCTGTAGTGCTGGGTATTTTCCTGTGGCCTTTGATTTCATCTCAAGACAAAAGTTTGTGGCTGAAGCCAGTTCTGCAGAAGCTGGACTTCGGCATCGGGCAATTTTTTTATAAAATCAAGCAGAACCATGGTAAGTATTAAACACTATTTTTCTTTAAAATAACCAGACTTATTTGTAATCTGTTAAAATCTGCAGGCCTTCTGGACATCTTTGAACTTTCACAGATTTTTTTAATGGTTTTACTCTGTCGTGGGGGGATAACATACTGCAAACCTGAGCCTGAATATTGAATCCACATATTAAACAGTAGCAACCATAATGTATTTTTAGATAAATGCAGTATTGCTTTATTTGTCTTATGTAAAAACTTCTTCCAAATAAGCTCACAAATAAAGGAAAATATTCAATCTATAGAGATGTTTTTCATTATCTTTTCTTTTTAAACAAAGTTGCATTTATTTGAGTTTAATCTGATCCTTGTTGATTCGTTCCTTTCAGAGAAGAGACTCGTTCAGGCTCAGATGGAGAGAGAAGGCGTCGAATCCGACCTTTCTTCAATGTTTCCCAAGGTTTGTAGTTGATTTTCTTCTTCTGGATCTGATTCTGTTCACTGACAGGGTCCAGTCAGAACAGTTGGAATTCACCACTTATGATCCTTATGAGTCTTGTTAGCTTGTTAAACCTTCAACGGGAGTCGGGTGGTTTGGAGGGACTTGATAAAATATGTTTAAAGTCAGAGATTTTTCCCTACATTTTATACAACTGACAGCTTTTAGTGCAAAAGGTGACATTTCTGTGTGTTTCTGGTGAGCCAGCTCGACTCCACGGTGTGTAAAGACATGTCGGTGTCAGATACTGAAGTGTCTGACGTGACATGGACGGATAACGGCACTTTCAACCTGTCAGAGGGACACACACCGCAGACGGAGAACTCAGAAGGTGAGAATATCAGAACCTGTTTATGTCTTTCTTAGTTTACTGACATTTCACAGGTTTATTCTGTAAGAATGTTCACTTAGTGCCATCTAGTGGTGGAATTTAGCCACAGGCAGGAGACTCAAAGCGCAAACCTCTTAAGATTGAGTTGGTCTTTAATAGCACAGTTGGTATGAACTCAAATTTCCAATTGATATTTTTGATTAAGAACAATTCAGCATTTATTTTATTGAGACTTTTACTACTTTGAGATAAATATTTTCTCCTGAGCAAATTTATTGTACATTTAAGTTCTGTATTGTTTGTTACTGTGTATTGTTTGTGAAAGTCTGTATGTTCACAGCTCAGTTTTTCCCTCCTCCAGCTGGCTTCAGTAAGGAGTCATTTTGGAGAAGAGTTTGTCTGAAGGCGATGGAGATGAGGACATGACAGTCCTGGTTGGTTTTTCTTCTTACTCACTTCTTGGTCCAACTCTGCTTCTTTCAGATCTTGATAAAGAGGAATTGTTCACTGCTGGTCTCCCAGATTTCCCTTCCCTTGATAACGGCACAACAACCAACGGTGACGATGACCTCAGCCTTGACCTTTCCTTACCTCCGCCTCAACCAATCAAATCAAACCGATTGCCTCCTACGTCACACGAAGGCCAACCGAGCGGCAGCGCCCTGGAACTGGTCAACCAGATGGCCAGTGACGTCATCGCCGCTGCCGTTACGTCCGCCATCCAGGAGAGGATAGAGGCTGCCGTCGGATGCTTGTCTCTGAGCGAAGACCCCGAGAGGTCAAGGCCTCCGGATTCGAGCCGACTGCTGGACCTGGCCGAGGAGTCTGACAGCGAGGTGGAGGACTTTGAGCTGCTGGACCAGTCTGAGCTGGAGCAACTGGAAGGGGAGCTTGGGTTGGTAGAGGAGAAGACGAAACCCAAAGAGGAGGAACCGGTCAAGACCGACAAACCAGCCTCATCTGGATTCTTCTCTAAACTCCTCAGACGCCACTGATTGGTGAAAAGTTTGGCAGGGGAGGGTAGATGGTCACAAAGGACAATCAGAGTTTCTGTCACCTTTGGCTTCTTTTTGAGGAGAAAGCGTTACCATTTTTCTCTTTTAGAGCTAGCTTTTACATTTGAAACATCTATTTCAGCTCATGCGCAGCAGAGGTTCACTTACTTTAGTATATATGTCGATCTGGTCATGATGTGGAAGTTCTTAAAGGAAGCAGAACCTGTGATTTGAAATCTGTCTTCAGTAAAACAGCCTGGGCAAAGAAAAGGAAGTTAGGAATGTCAAAGCCTATCATTATTGTTCCACACTAGATTTTACAGTTTAAAAGGAATTAAAAACCTCACAGTAGCTCAGACCGTCAACCTTTTAATAAGTAAATACTCGTTCTATAATATTTCTCATCAGATAAGTTTCTGCACCTCCACAGCAGCCAGTCAGTTGAAATCATGAACCTCAAATCAACATGTCATCTTTCTCAGGTGGTCATACTGAGGCCTTTCAGGACTTCACATTGTTTAGATGCATTATAACTCTATTATAAACCCAATGCCACGCTTTCCTGCTCCTTATTTCTAACAACAACACTGCAGGTTTATCTTTGACAGGCAGGCCAAAATAATTGGGATTTAAACTCAGAGCTTCTCTGTCTCTCAGCAATCAGTGCAGCAGATCCTGGGTGCGTGCAATTTGGAGGTATGTGCGTTGCTTCTCAGCTGGGAACTCAACATATCCCAGTTTCCTTTAGCAAGGATTCCTTGTTACTGGGGTGCTTGTTGTCATGAATAGAGTGGATTGCTCGTTGCCAAGAGGGAATTTATCAGGAGCAAAAACGACCAGAAATGTTGATGTGATGAGAGTTGGAGTTTTATTCACCATGTTTTTCTTCCATTTGAGTCTCAAATGTTTCTAAAAACAGCCCGAGTAAAAAAATCACCCAACCATTTTTTGGCAATAATTTAAAGTTTTTTGGTGCCCAGAAAACGAGTCATTTTAAAAACATAATCCGATTTTTAAATCACAATCAACAGACACTGCACTGTTTCCTAGCAACCCCAGCTGAGTTCCAACACATTTGGTCAGCTGGCTTTCCCACTTCATGTGCTGTACAATGGCTGCTGGAAAAGAGAAGTGTTTTGTTGTTGACTTGCCATCCAGAAACCACTTTGATGCATTCTTGTTGGTTGTGCAGGAGACTCCACTTCTGCTTTTCAAAGATGTACGGTTATATAATTGCACATCTGATTTCAGCCATTTTCAGGTGAGAGTCTAACTGAGTTGGGGGCGCGGCCAGCTGTATCTTCTTTGTATTTAAAGTGACAGGATGCACCAAAACAGCTCATTGTGAAAGGAGATTAAAAAAATAGGCAGAACAGAGCAGAATAAAATCTCTTTATGTAAGAATGACTTTGTTAGATCTATCCTAACCTGCTCATGAAAGCATAACAGATCACCTCTCATTTGGTGTGAAGCTGTTCTACCTGGCTGCCAGCAGGCTTGTACCCTACAAAGTTCTTTCTTTTGTCCAGTATGAGGTTGTGAAATTAGTTGTTTTTTTTTTTGATAGATTGCAGATAAGACACTGACTGCTCATACTGACTCCACAGAAGCAATCCTAACCAGTCACCTGAAATCTGGCTTAGTTCTTTCAAATACAAAGAAGTGAACAAGTTAATGGTGACAATTACTGCATAGTTACATTTTTTAGGCTGAGATGAAAACATTGTTCATGACTGGATCGTTGATGATGAAGGTTTAAAGATAATCAGGTTCATTGTATCTCCTGCGTTAGGATCTTAGTGTTCCTTACTTTATCAAACATTTCTGCAGCTTTTTCACTTTTCTTTTGATGCAACGTGCAGCTGGTCTCAGAATAATATGCATGGATATCTAAATAAACATCCAACAGAGGGGCTGTAGGAGATTTTGTGGATTTTTGGCAGTGAGCTGCTGGGACTCAGGAGGGAAAGACGGGATCCGAATGAGGAAAAACAGAAATTAGACTGAACGTGAATTCTGTTGGAACAATAAAAGAAAACAAGTTTGATAATATAATTGTACTGACTTTTATTATTCACAGTATTATCCGCTTTCATTTGTTGTTCCATTTTTATTTTTGATATTTTTTTCACCTTATGATTTTAGTTTCAGCTGTGACAATTTCTGCTTTAAACTGCAAGGTTATATAAATGCAAAATAATAATAAAGAATCAGGATTACATTGTTTTTTTTATTTATTTATTTGTCCAAACAAATCTGGCATTTATTTCTGACCACATTAATCAGAAGTGATGCATCTCAATTATTTTACCACCAGATGGCAGTAAATGGAAAATAAATTGGTTTATTGTGGCCCAGATTGAGGCGTGATGGTTTCAAAAATCCCAGTTTGTATTTCCACCAGACCAATGATTGCTATTTATTAATTTTTGCAATAATTCAAAAGCTGAGCTGTGTGAATTTGGATTACCCTACTGCACGGGATTTAAGGAAAAATATGATGGAGGTGAAAAATAATTAAAAGATATTAATATTTAATGTACTTTAAGTCGTTCAAGCCATTAATTCAATAAATTCTTTTAAAGCAACCTGTTGGATTTTAATGATGTTTATATTTGTAAACATGAGGGAATATTGTTGATTTTTATTTTAGTTTATTTAATGATATTTAGTTTTAGTTTTTTTAAAGCCACCAATGACAAATCAGGAGATTTCCAGGAGTGATAGATCTTCTTTCTATTTTTTCTAATATCAAACAATTAAATGTCAACAAAACAAATACAAGAATAACAAGAAATCTCAGTTTGAGAAGTTTATATTTCATTATTTCAGTGTGCTGCTACTGCCAGTATTTTTGTTAGCAGATAGAAATCTAAAGATCTTTGCTCCTCATATCTTGACAGTGAGATTTCTATTGAGTTGCTGTTTAGGATATTCCCCACAAGGGGGCGCTGCAGACCCGGGAGCCTGTCTGCGTCCCGTAATGTTGCCTAAATCTTAACAAACAAAAACAACACAGTTTGACGGAATTAAAAACTACAATTAAGTCATTACTCAGAAGTTAAGATTTAGTGATGTTTATAAGTTCTTGAGGTTTTCTATGTTTTGTCATTATGAAATGCTTTCTGAACCAGCATCTAAAAAATCAGCATTTGGTTTTTCTAGACATGGAGAAAATGTTATTATTATTATTATTATTATCCAGTTTAACGTCTAAAAGAAGCTCATAATCACATTTAATGGACAGTAGAACTGATTGACAGAAAACCTTCAGGTTGAGTCTTTAATATAAAAAAAGAAACACGTCATATTTACAGCCCTGTTATTGTTCTGCTATGTGACCAAACCTGATAAACAGCTCTCTTCTTGGTATTCCCACCATTTCCAGTCAGATCACATATTTCCTTGTTCCTTCCCTTTATGTGCTCAAGCTTAAGTACAGTCACAGTTAACAGTCACAGTTAGATGAAAACAGAAATGGAGCAGCAAGGAGTTCAGCTGGACCGAAAAACTTTCTCCTGTCCGATCTGTTTGGATCTTCTGAAGGATCCGGTGACGATTCCCTGTGGACACAGCTACTGTATGATCTGTATTAACACCCACTGGGATGAACAGGATAAGAAAGGTATGTACAGCTGCCCTCAGTGCAGGAAACCCTTCATATCAAGGCCTGACCTGGAGAAAAACACCATGCTAGCAGCTTTAGTGGAGCAGCTGAAGAAGACTGGACTCCAAGCTGCTCCTGCTGATCACTGCTATGCTGGACCTGAAGATGTGGCCTGTGATTTCTGCACTGGGAGGAAACTGAAAGCCATCAAGTCCTGTTTAGTCTGTTTGGCCTCTTACTGTGAGAAACACCTTCAGCCTCATCATTATTCAGCAACTTTCAGGTACCACAAGCTGGTGGAGCCGTCCAAGAACCTCAAGGAGAACATCTGCTCTAAGCATGATGAGGTGATTAACATGTTCTGCCGCACTGATCAGAAGTGTATCTGTTATCTCTGCTCTGTGGATGAACATAAAGGCCATGAAACAGTGTCAGCTGCAGCAGAAAGAGCTGAGAGGCAGAGAGAGCTGGAGGAGAGACGAGGAAACATCCAGCAGATGATCCAGAATCAGGAGAAAGATGTGAAGCTGCTTCAACAGGAGGTGGAGGCCATCAATGTCTCTGCTGATAAAGCAGTGGAGGACAGTGAGAAGATCTTCACTGAGCTGATCCGTCTCCTCCAGAAAAGAAGCTCTGATGTGAAGCAACAGATCAGATCCCAGCAGGAAACTGAAGTGAGTCGAGTCAAAGATGTTCAGGAGAAGCTGGAGCAGGAGATCACTGAGCTGAAGAGGAAAGACGCTGAGCTGGAGCAGCTCTCACACACAGAGGATCACTACCAGTTTCTACACAACTACCCCTCACTGCCAGCACTCAGTGAGTCGACACACTCATCCAGCATCAACATCCGTCCTCTGAGACACTTTGAGGACGTGACAGCAGCTGTGTCAGAGCTCAGAGAGAAACTACAGGACGTCCTGAGAGACTCATGGACAAACATCTCACTGATGGTCACTAAAGTGCGCATTTTACCACCAGAACCAGAACCAGAACCAAAGAGCAAAGCTGAGTTTTTAAGATATGCTTGTAAAATCACACTGGATCCAAACACGGCTCACACAATGCTGGTTCTATCAGAGGGGAACAGGAAGGTGGCATTGACGAATCAACATCAGTCTTATCCAAGTCACCCAGGCAGATTCACTGGTTGTTGTCAGGCTCTGAGTAAAGAGAGTCTGACTGGACGTTGTTACTGGGAGGTGGAGTGGAGCGGAAGAGGAGGATTTGTAGCTGTTTCATACGATAATATCAGCAGATCAGGAGGTGGGAATGAATGTGCATTTGGTCGGAATCACAAGGCTTGGGCATTGGATTGTTACCAGAGTAAATACATATTTTCTCACAAGAACATCAAAACTCCTGTCTCAGGTCCTGATTCCTCCAGAGTCGGAGTGTACCTGGATCACAGCGCAGGTGTTCTGTCCTTCTACAGCGTCTCTGACACCATGACTCTGATCCACAGAGTCCAGACCAGATTCACTGAGCCGCTACATGCTGGAGTTTGGATTTATTACACCAAAGACGCTGCAGAGTTCTGTAAACTCTGAATTTCTCTGTGTTGAAATTTACTGCAACATGTTTGTATTGCTGTTTTATGAATTTTGTTGTACTTGAACTAAAAAAAAATACTGTGGAGAGCCACTTTCTTCTATTCTTAAAATTTTTGGACATGTTATTTTAATCTGTTTGGAAATTCCAAGCAAATTCATTCCAAACATTGCTGCTGTCTGGGGTTTCCAAACGTTTCAACCTCGTGACTTAACATTGCCAGAGATTGACGATCTTGTAAAATATGTATAGTTATTTAATTGAATATGTTTTTAAATAAATTTCTTTTATAAAAAATTAGTTTGGATTATGTGGTTTAATCATTTAAAATCTATGTTACATTATTTAATGAGACACTTAAAGGTATATTTATTTTATTCATTTAATTAATTTTGTCTCTATTGGCCATTATTACAGTTCAGGGCTCACATTCCTATGATTCTGAAAATGATTTCGTTATCATCTCAATGGGTCCCAAGCCCCATTTTGTGAATCCCTGATCTAGCAGTATTTTTAACTGATAATTAAAATGTAAATATAAAAATGTAGCTTATCAGAAGCTTTCTCCTAAAAGATTACTATTGCATCAGAAATATCTTTCTGTAGGATTTGTTATTCAAATCTTCTTAACAAAACAAACCAGAAAAAGTGTTGTAGATTCATTCAGATTTTTCCCCAGGTGAGATTTCTGTTGCACCTTATTTTGATTTGCATATTATTCAGTGTTTGTGTCAATAAATGTGAATCTTTGTTCTAAATGCTATTAAACCAAAAGTGAGTTAAAAGTCAATTTCGCTGCTTGTTTCCGTCCGAGAACCCAGTTTCCGTGTTCACTTATGAGGTCAACTTGACACTCACAACATGGCGGCGCGCTGAGTGTGAAGCCTTTCTCTATGATGTAGAACATCGGTATTTCCTGAAGGGGGCGATAGTGCACCGTTCGGGAATCGGACGGAAGTTCAAAGAAGAAGTTTAAAGCTCAGAGGTTACCCTCGTGTTTACAAGTAAGAATAAAATTCACCACTCAGGCCGGCTCTGACTGTCAATCTTAAGCAGCGAAAACGTTTAATAAGTAAGTAATTACTGGATGTAAAAGCAGTTTTTTCTAAGATTGGGTTGGAGGTAGGAAAGGGTCGAACTTTAGTTATTTATCGGCTCTGTTTACCCTGAGCTGGGAGTTTAGTTAGCTTGTTGCTAACAGATATCGGGGCAGTTTATCTAAACTTTTATCGTTTTATGGTTAATCTTTGGTAAGTAATCGCTAAAATGATTGATAATCTGTTTAACAGATTGCTAGCTGAGGTGTAAAGGTTCTTAAATTTCTTTTGAAATAATGTTATGAAAGTAGCTGTCCAGAAAACGTTTTATTATTTCAGCCGACCTTTTTCTGCTGACATAACAGAAATTTGTCTCAGTTAAATGTAGAAACAACCATAACAGCAACAAAATGTAGTAAACCGTGTTTAACTGATGCTGACGGACATTAGGAAAGTGACTACATGTGATTTAAACCAGGGATTACATATTTTTAAGGCCTGGGTGGTTGTGACTGCATGTCCCAGTATTCATAGCGCAACAATCACAAATATTATTCTTGAAAAACATTTCTATTTGAAATAGGCTTCTTCAGGATCCCACTTACTTAAAAAAATAATGCAACAACTCAATCTTAAAGATGAATAAACTTTAAATTCTAATGGACACTAAGCGCTGGAACTGGAAGACATTTTAAATACTCATAAATAAATAAATAAAACAACAGAAACAATAAATTATGAAGTCTCTGGAAACACAATTGTCCTTCAAAAAAGGTTTAGCTTAGACAAAAGCAGCAGATTGAAACTTTTATCATCCAGTTTTTGTTAGAAATAAAATCAATAAATAACACAAATGGAAATTGTTGAGCTTGTCTTAATTCATCATGTCATTAATGGATTTATTGCTTATTCTGACAGGCCTGTTAATAAAAAAGGGGATGCTAGTCCTCCTTTTCACTGATTTCAGTTTTTTTGTTGTGTGAAATCGCTGCAGCTGAAATTATTAGAAATTATTTTTATTCATATTAGTAATTGGTATTTTCTGCCAGTTTTATAATAGTCATTTTTAAGCACTATGTCAGCTGAGGTTGTTTTAAATGGGTTATAAATAAACTTTCACGTGACTTTTATATTCTCAACAAGTCTATTTTCTGGTTAAATAAAAGTAATTATTACATTTGGTTTGAAACGTTTCACATAGAAACCTTTAGACTGATTTCTGTATTAATCTGCTAATAAGAGTCATATTTTTGTCTTTATTGTGATTAAGAAGTCTAAACATGAGCGATGTGTCCTTCAGGTCGCCATGGCGTCTTACACGTGCATCAGCTGCCGGGTGGCCTTCGCCGATGGCGAGGTGCAGCGGGCGCATTACAAAACCGACTGGCACCGCTACAACCTGAAGCGCAAGGTGGCCGACATGCCGCCGGTCACCGCAGAGAACTTTCAGGAGCGCGTGCTGGCGCAGCGGGCTGCCACCGACCAGCAGCTGACCCACGCCGCCGCCACAGAGAGCTGCGGCGTCTGCAGCAAGAAGTTCTCCAGCGCCAACGCCTACCAGAACCACCTGCAGTCCCACAAGCACCAGCAGGCGGAGAGGCAGGCGCTGCTGGCGGCGCAGAGGAAGGTGGAGAGAATGAACGAGAAGAACCTGGAGAAGGGCGTCTATGACGAGAAGGAGGACAACGACGCCAGGAACGAGGTGCTGCAGCAGGCGCTGAGGGAGCAGCACAGGCCCAACCCGGCCAAGATGGCCAAGGTCCAGACCGCCGGCGCGAAGGCGGAGAAACCGCCACGCATGGTGTGGCTGGAGGAGCAGGTGAAGAGACGGGAGAGAGAGGAGGGAGGAGAGGCAGCAGCAGAAGGTAAACGGAGAATAAAATACATTTTAATGTTTAAATCAGGGGTCCCCAAACTACGGCCCGCGGGCCGGATCCGGCCCGCCACGTCATTTGGTCCGGCCCCCTGAACAATGCCGGATCTGGCCCGCCTCCTCATACCAGAGAGCATTCAGTGTTTTTTTTCCATATATTGTATTTTCCGGTTTACATGTGGATTTTTCTTCAACCACCAGGGGGGCTCTTGAGCAGATGTGAAACTAACTTTCCCTCAACGGTCACTCAATGGTCCCAGTGACCGTTTCACTCACGGTTTTTTCCATTTGCATTCTGGGTAAAAATCTATCTAAAAGCACGAATGTGTCGTTGTGTCGTCGCGCCCCCATTTCCCCATCCCCCCCCATTTCCCCCCCCGCCCCACCCCCCGCCCCCCAGACAAAAGCAGTGGGGTCTCC